GATGGAAAGGGGGAGGAGGTGTTGATGTATTAGTTGGGGGAGGGGGATTCAGCGGCTCTTCCTCATGACACAAAGAAGATGAACTGGAAGTTAATGTTCTTTGTGCTTCCATTATTATTTTTTTCAGGTACATTTTTCTTGTTTTTATATTTTTGTTATTCTGAAAAACATTTTTTTTCCTGGGTGGAGGACACCAATTACAAACATGTACAATGTACTTGCCCCTGTTCTAAAAGCTCTAAATTACTGCTGTTTTTTCCCCCAACTATGGTATACATCGATCCTTATAATAGGTTGTTTTTGCAGTTGCAAGCGCCTCAAAACTGCTCCTAAAACAAAAACTAACGTTTTTTTTGGTATGTTTATTTTGTCTTCTCCAGAGAGTAGCCAATGATCTTACCGAGGCGTGAGGTGTGAACGTATTAGAGCAACAGGATGGAGCCACGTGATCATGTTGCCTTGTCAACACTGCCCCTACAGCTGCTGCTTCTCCTCGCCGTGTCCAGCACCGTGACGTCACTAGGCGTGCTGCGGACGTTCCGAGACCCCGAGGACAACGCCTTCCAGCGACTGGCGGTCCACGCACCATCTGGCACCGTCCTGGTGGGGGCCACGAACCGTCTGCACCGGCTCAACGCCAACCTGACCTTGCTGCAAAGCGCTTCTACCGGGCAGCGGGACGATAACCCTGACTGCCCCCCTCCCATCATGCCCTGCTCGGAGCCGAAGACGCCCACGGATAGCGTGACCAAAGCCCTCGTCGTCGACCCTGAGAGCGAGTCCGCCATTGTGTGCACAAGTCTCTTTCACGGCTCGTGCCAAACGGTGCGCGTGAAGAACATCACTTCGGTCATCAAATACGTTCAGAAACCCGTGGTGCCCAACGATGCGGAGTCTAGCTGCGTCATGTTTGTGTCGCCCGGAGCTGATAAGAAGCCCAGTTTGTATGTCGGGGCGGAATACAGCGCTTTAGGAAACTCCGCCTATCGCGATTTGGTGCCCAGTATTAGCAGCAGGAAGCTGGACTCACTCGACTTCGCCTATCGCGACTCGGAGGGTGGTACGACCATGAGCGTGAAGAAGTCTCTACGCAAAGATTTCCCCATCCGTTTTGTACACGGCTTCTCCCACAACGGCTTCGTCTACTTCATCCTGGCCCAGAAAAAGGACGCCAAATCCTCCGAGATGGTCTCCCGCATCGCGAGGCTTTGCGAGGGCGACAAGTATTTCAGGTCGTACGTGGAGGTCCCTCTGAGGTGTCGAGACGGTGACATGGACAGCCAAGCGTCCGTTGTGGCGCAGGATGCGGCTGTGGACGGTGACCAGCTGGTGGTCAGTTTCTCTCCGGACAGTGAGAGCGGCAGTCTGTCGTCGCTGTGCCAGTACAAGATGGCCGACGTGAACGCCGTGTTGGACGGAACAGTGGCCGAGTGCTATAAGGGGCAGGGCAAGGTGGGGCCCGTGCATTACCAGACGCTGAGGACGTGCATGAGAGTGGTGAGTTGGCTACACAGTCTGTCTGCTGCTCTTCTGTGATTTGTCTTTGCTTGCTCTCTCTGCTTGCTTGCTCTGTCTGTCTGTCTGTCTGTCTGTCTGTCTGTCTGTCTGTCTCTCTCTCTCTCTCTCTCTCTCTCTCTCTCTCTCTCTCTCTCTCTCTCT